TTATGGTTCTTGATTTTAGTTAGGGAAAAATTGAGATATAGTTTTCAATATTATCGTACTGTGATTGAAGTACTGTGAAATTATTTCAATTAATAATCGATTCTTTCACAGTTCAGCGTTTTCGAATTTCTTTTAAGGTGACATTGTATACTCCTTTTTTACTTGAAAATTTCTTTCATTTTCGATTAACCCTTTGGACTATAATATCGTGTCAGACTTGTGGCTGAGATTTCAAATAGAATTTAATAAATATCACTATTATTCAATTTGTTTGAATGCAAAACATTTTATCTACTGTATTTAATTCATTAATAACAGAGTGCTTAGATCGATCACAGTTCAGAAAGAAGTCATAGGGCAAGAGATTAGTCATTTTCGAACATTTTATTAATCACGTGTACCATTCCATATAATTACGCATTCCACCAAAATCTTCAGAACACAGCCGTAAAAACACACTCCAATTCCCCCCACAACGAAAACCAAATTCCACGACACAATTTCAAAAACTAACAACCTTAACACTAGAACTATTGAGCACTTAAACCTTTTTAAAATTTTTTTATAAAACCTATAAGCGTGAATTTATTAAGATTTCAATTGGTTTATATTTCAGTTTAGGTATTCCGAAATCAGCTTCTTTAATCATTTCTTAAAGCAGTGTCTGCACCTTTACAGCAATTGTAAAAGAAGAAATTAGAAATTGGTCATTTCGATCTGCCTGGTAGTTCTAGTGTTAAGGTATCTCCTGAAACCCCGCACGCAAACAAGAAACCCTCGGAATTCCCGATGAACCCCGATAATCCCGTAGCACTAAATCCTTTATAACCCCAGCAGCGTGTCCGATTTTGCAACAAACGCGAACGTGCCAATCGGGAAGCTGTTAAATGAGTAAGCAGCCGACGACACTCGATTAGGGGCTGCCGAGTGTATCTCCTTTCGACCGGTTTGCGGACAGGTTACAAGGAAGCGTGGAAGGAGAGAGACACGAGACACCGCGAACGAGGCGCACACGCGCGAGAGGGATGGATCCACGAAGTGGCGAGGAGACACGTGTCGGGGTCCTCCTTCGCTCGCCTCTTGGGGCCTAGGGGGCCCCGAAAAACCCGAAACGCCGGGGGTTTGCGCGGCCGTGCGTTATCCCGTCTCTCTCTTTCTCTCCGGCGCGCTTCAGATCCCCAACATCTGCCCCCGAAAAAACAAAAGCCCATTGTCGTTAACGACCGGTCGCGCGTCTCTTGTTTCTAACCGAGCGCTTTTGAATCGTAGGCGAATAACGGACCCCGTAGCGTCCATTCAGGAACCGGGTCTCTCTCGCTGTCTCGTTCCTTTTGCCGTCCCGCGGTCGATCGCCGTTTTTGCTCTACACGGTCTCCTTTCGACGGACTTTCATCCCCCTTCGACGACAGACTCTTCGCTCCTCTGTTCCGGAATTTTTTTCCCCTCCCGAGACTTTCTTCGGAGTTCGTTGTAGGTACGCGCATTGGGAAGTGTTCCCTTTCTCGCTGATTTTCCTGGATGCCGATCTAATCTCGAGAGATCGATCTTTTGGAATTCCGATGATTCTCCGTCGCTTCCTGTCGCGGTCAGGTACGCGTCCTTCCGGTGATGGGGGTGGAGAAGGTTTCAGGGAGCGATGATATTTATCTTGATTGCTTGTAGGATGTTTGTCAATGGAAGGATCTTTTCGGGTTATTATTGTGTCACTTTGTGATGTGTATCGGTGGCAGTGTGGATCGAATTGGACTCTTCGTGGGAGTTGGTTAGAAAACGGCTATTGAGTTGGGCTTTAAGTATTCAGTTAAGGGAGGTGTATTTTTTGCGGGGGTGTATTGAGGTGACGTCCGCTGATTTGGAACTTTGAAAAGTACTTTCGTAGGTATTCTTTTTTATTTGGTATTTTTTAAGATGAACGTTTCTGCTTGAAGATTTTGGAGACTTTTAGAATTATGATAAAATTATAACTGATAAAATTGTGTCATTGTGTGTTAATAATATGGTATATTTACTTTTATTACTAAATTAATCAACTGGCATCATCTTCTGTTAATCCATTAATTCCTTATACCAAGATCTATATAGTATTATCCTACACATCAAAAATTCAAGTTTCTAATTCCACTCTTCTCAGAAAGTGTCTCAAGTGAGAACATTATATCACCAACTCATCTTCTATACAAAATTATTCCCTTCCTTCAAATTATTACCCACACAAATATAGCAACTCGAACCTTTTCCAAACCCACTCAAAGTCATCTGTTTTGTACCTCTACAATAACTGTAATAACACATATTTATTCACCCCCACAAAAGTAACCAACAAACGTTCAAACAACGCGTGACATATTTTCTCGCCCCTTAATTGCAAGCAACTAAAATACCTTTCTAACCTCCGAAGCCACGCCGCAGAGACAATTCTAATGTCGGCCAGGATGAGATCCGGCGTCCACGGACGAGCCGAAAATTTACAAGTCAACATGATGTCCCAGAAAGATCGCGGTCCGCGCCGGTTCTGTTTCCCGAATATTTCCCAGCGATACCGGGTCGCGTTTCGTAATGAAATCACGACTCGCGTATAAATCCGTACCCACGGACTCGATTCGCGCGCGTTTGCGCCGGCGAACAACAGAAAGGGAAATTCGGTTAGCCCGGAGGAAAGCGCTCACGGCTGATATAGAGATCTAATTTCCTTCTACGCAAGTCTTATAATTCACCCCCTTCCAAGCTGCCGGCCGGCGAAGGGGGTAGGAGAGAGTCTAAGGTCCCGGGGTCAGCCGCAGACGTAACAATTCACTTTTAAGTGTCCTCGAGCAGACCTTCTGCCGGAGATTCTTGCGGCTCTTCCTTCGCCCCAGGTCTCTATACTTCGGCCCATTAACATAGAGATTGGCATGGTTTCATACATCGATCTTTTCCCTACGCGAGTCGAGTGTCCATATCCGTCGTGATGGGATACCAACCCCCGCGGAAATAATAGAAGCATTTATTGTCTTCCTTGTCTCCTTTCTTTCGACTTATTGCATGTAAATATACTTTAGCTGGGTCCTTGCTGGGGATTTTTGACCTTTCCAGTGAATATTTTGGTAAATTACTTTTGTGAACATGATTCGTTTTGTAGAATTAAGAGTGGAAGAATATGGTGAGATTATCTGCATACGCAAATAATGAAGTGTTTTGATATTGAAGGAAATTGTTAGAACGTGGAAGAAAATAGTTTAATTTAGAAGTTTCGACGTAATTGAAGGACTTAGTTAATATTTCAAGATATTGCGAATAGTGTGTATCGCAATATACTTTAAATATGAAAGAGTCGATTACGTATTTTTGAATAATTATATGTAATACTCTAGTTTCATTTCAATAAGATTATTGGATGTTTCATGTGTGTTTATTAATATATAACTAGGAAACGAAGAAACTGATGAAACTGTCTCATATTTCATCTTCCGGAATGTTTTATTCAGACAGAAGTTTTAAATTTGGAATTCGTGTTTCTACTGCTACTTTTCCTGTATCTTCTGTTGAATGTTTCATTGTCTCTTTCGCTTCCTGGCTTGATAGCTATAGTTCGTAGGGGTTGTCCCTCGAGGCATACGTGGTCACAGCGATTTCCCAGGATCAAGTTTTCACTGATGCGCGGACTCCGTTCGATTCTTTCGGGGCGGAGCTTGATTGACCAATGGCCAGCGCGCAAACGCGAATTCTCTTGACCGTGTAGGTCTACCATGCTTCGTGCGAATGAAAGAAAGCAACTCGGCAATGAAATGTAGTCTGATATATTGCGTTGTCAATTGTTGCTCCATTACAATACTCTGAATTTTGTTTTGTAAAATTGACAATTGACAAATTATAAATAAATTAAAATTCAAAGCATATAGATATAATAAGAGTACCTAAAATTTAGCTATCGACTTCATTCAGAGAAATAAAATTTAGAAGAATGGAAATCATGTCACAAAATGGACATATGTTGAATCATTGGGTGGTCCTGGACATAGGTTTAAGGAAACGGACTTTGAAGTGTCTGTATCTGCGAGAGGTATCTGCTTAGTCTCATGAAGCCATGTGTTTGCCCTTTTGTGTAAAACGAGGGAACGTGAGGTACTCGAGAAATGTCCAGTGACAACTTTCAGCAAAAAAAGGGAGAAAATTGAAGGAAATTGATCTGTGGGGTTAGAAAGAACTTAAACGCCGTTTCATACCCGATTTCATCCTATTAAGATTCCATTTTCTCAGACTTCTAAGTGAGATAAGTTGACGTGGAAGTTTTTAATCGTAATCATTCGCAGAATTACCCAAGAGCTCATCTTATAAACGTGTATAAATCCCTTTCTTTTAATCTTTGATACGCTTTGAAATATTACTGCGAATCCGCAGAATAAGACTGATAATTGAACTACGACTCTAAACGCATTAAACGTTTATAAAGATCTACGAAGAAAAATAAAATGTAAATGTAAGGTTTTATAACATTCCCACCGTCCATCGGATTATTATTAAGCTACTAAATCTATTACAGCTCACTTTCACGATTCTCGCATATAAAAATTGAAATTCTCATAAAAATTCATAGTCTTCCCAAAACTGCTCTCTGAATTTTATGCATTCATAGTGGATGTCAACGTTTCAACAGCAATATAGTATAACGTTTAATCCAATTTTATAAAAGCCTCAGTTTCCGTTAATCTAACCTTGTTGAATTCAGTCTAAATAATACCTACCGCAAAAGGATCAATTTCGTTACTACAAATTACTGAAAATCAACTCCTAAAAATGTAAATTTACAAAAACATCCACACTCTACTGTTAACAAACTAATCTAATTTATTAAGCATTAACTCTTAAGAATCTGTATTTATACAAACATCTACACTTCGCTGTTAACAAATTAATGTAATTTACTAAACATTACCCCCAAGGAATCCATATTCACAAAAACATCCACATTCTACTGTTAACAAACTAATTTAACAAACGACCTCGTGTTTTTTCATTTCCAGCGGAAACCTCTCAAGGTACCACATCCCCAGACACCGTCCAATGCGGGGGTTGCAGAGCGTCCTACCCCCTCGGCGAGATCGTGCGGTTCATCGAGCACAAGGTCAACCACTGTCGCAGCACGCTTCAGGGTTGCCACAGTCCACCGGCGACGGCGGCTCCGGAGGATTCCGACCCGGAGGACGCGCTAGCCTTGAAGGCTGCCGATCAGGACTCGAAGCTGAACTCAGTGCCCAGCATATCCGCCCCTATCAACAAACGAGGCGGCGGCAGGCTGGAGAGTCCTCCGACGCCACAGGGCTCGGGGCCGGATGCTGGAAGTCCGATCGAGCTGAAAGCCAGCGCCAGCTCGACGCCCAAAAGACGGACAGAAACTTCCGACGAGGATAAAGAGGACCTTCCGAAGAAGCAGAAGATCGAGTCTGTGGACGCGGACACGAACACAGTCAATTCCGGTGAGTCCCTTGTCTATTTGTTTTTTTATTTGAAGCTAACTCTTTGTGCCCTGATGGTTCCTTAAAACATAATTTTCACTGATTAGAAATTAACGTGGTTAGAGCTTTAGAGAATTTTTAAATTGTTTAGGTAATTGAAATAGTTCGGTAAATTCAAAGTGTTTGAATAGAATGATTGTGGAAATTTGAAGTAAATGATCGGGCCTGAAGGGTTGCTTTTCTGTTTTGCCCTTAACACGTTTGCTACTGGGATGGTATATAAAATTAGGTGAATTCGAGAGGAAAAAGTGTTTCGAGTTATGTTCCAAGTTTTATATGCTATGCAGTTCATGTAAACTAATGTTTATGAATCTATGTAGCATCCTCTGTTAGTGAATATCGAGTAATTTGAAAGAAATTGACAATTGTACTTGAGGTATGTCAACAATTTTGTGATTTGTGTTAATAATGTGTTACACATTGTACTAAATTGAACACTGAATATCTATCACAAGGAATGTTCTTAAATAAGACGTCGCTAGCAAACGTGTTACCGGTAGAGATAAAAACACGGTTAACGAAGTTGTAAGTACCATGAGACCGGTTCGCGATGTCGAAATTTCGAATAACGAAGTTTCATTACTCCTGGTGTAGCCGTTTTTGCGCTAAACGGCTTGTTAGAAGTAACTACAACACAAGCGAGAATAAAACAAGCACACCTGCTGGCAGTTTGATATTGCACACCGGTGATTAACGATTAATTAGAAGCCTGTGGCTAAGGCGATTAGAGAACGCCTGAGATTTCTTAACGGCCGAACGGAGTCAGGAAAGAGATTAAACGGTGAACTTTAACCCTCTTCATCGGCGGGCAACTTTTTACGATTCCCCGCGTGTCTTCTGGTCCAACCTTTTACTTCTTTCCCGTGAATGTTATTTACGTTTCATCGAGGCGAAATTCCCGGCGTTTCATTAATCTTATGCCGATCGATATTTCATAGGTTCAGATTTCATTCGCGATGAATGGGAACGTTTACTCGCTGGTACTTTTAATTGCCGCCGTTTTCGCGTCGGAGATTTAATTGACGCTGGCACGGCACCGAGAGACGAGGCACGTGCTACCGAAACCGTTGTCGTGATGTTTTGACATATTCCGCTTTGAGTTCTGTGCGTTAGGTCTCCCGAGTCAAGGCAACCACTATAAATATAGCCCGTAGGTTCCGGCAACAAATGCCCGCCGCGACTTTCATATTCTATGAAGCTCCACGGGCCCGCGGAGCGATCCCGTGACAGAAGCGAATTCTAATAAAAATGCGGCGAAACTGTTGAAAACGTATTTTACACCGTGGCACAGTGGTTCGCAAACTGTGAATCTTGATGTCGTTGATCTTTCGAGTGACAACTTCGAGAAGTATACTGTCGAAGTAATCAACCAACAACAAAATTTATTTTACTTTTAATATAACTGTAGGATCATTCCTTTGCAGTCGTATTAATTTAATCGATAAAATCAAAATGAATATAAACATAAATATCTATATATAAATTTGAAGCAACAGTAACTATATTAATTGTAATATGCAGTACAAAAGGAATAAATAATGGCGAAAATGTATAGTATAGAGAACAATTGATTCTCTAAAGCAATTGAGAACCACTGTAGCAACGCGTCCACCCCTATGCGCGAATTGTCATTCACATTCGAAACGAAGCATTTTTCAAAATTGTTCTTTGTAAAAAACAGTAAAAAGATCTGTGTCACACGGTGCGTGTCATCTGCGTTCGGAAACTACGGTTTCGAATTCGGCTGTCCGAGAGGGGGTCGAAGAAGAAAGAGAAAAAAGGGAGTTTTAAAGTACAGTTACGGGCTGCCATCTGATGTCGATCCTGGTTCAACGAGCACGAACAATACAACGGCGGATTCGATTTTTGAATTTAAAGAGCCCGCTCGGGGATTGGGGTGAACCTGCCCCCATAGTCGGCCACCCTCCCCCACTCTCCTTAAACGTGACCCCTTTTTATCGGCCGGCCACATTGTCATATTCCATAGAGTCCAACGGTGGCGAATGTCCTCGGTGTCCTTTTTGCGCTATTGTCCAAGATTAATAGTTTATTTTTTAATCTTATTACTGTAGATTATTCTCTGTCCAATTTAGTTTGTTCCACGAGTATTACAACGTGTGCCATTTCTAAATGTTAATTACTAGAGACTGGACTCGTATGGGCGGGCAATCTTGCGAATGTCCTCTGTGTCTTTTACACTGTTGTCCAAGATTAATAGTGTATTTTTTAATCTTATTACTGTAGGTTATTCTATGCCCAATTTAGTTTGTTCAACGAGTATGACGAACGTGTGCCATTTCTAAATGTTAATTACTAGGGACTGGACTCGTATGGACGGGCAATCTTGTTACCCGTGGGTCATCGTAAATGGACAACAGTGAATGAGTGTAGAGCCTGGTCATGGGGTATTCCAGCAGTTAGATGCGAACTACAGAGTGCAGGTTTCAAGGTTTAAACTTGAAAAAGAGGATGTGACGAGTTTTTATTTGGAACGTGACCCTTTGTTGGGACTACCCTCCTGCCTTTTAGCCTTGAAAAGTTACCAGGAAGATCCACTGGTTGGAGAAGATGAAAGTGCAAAATGTATTGCAAACATCAAAAAACATATTGTTGTTATGTTTACTATAAACATTAGAGAAACTTTGATCTCTTTGATCTCTTATATTTTCTTTGCATAATTGCCATTTACGAGGTACCATGTGAACTATGTTAGATAGGAAGTACTATCGTAAAAAATTAGGAATGTAGGAGTGCATTCTTCTTTGATTCAATATTCTCTAATTATTACTTCAACACACTAATAACTTAACTGTAATAACCTAATAATACTAATCCACAAATCTTCTCTTCCATTTTAAACTGTTCTAATAAGAAAAACCACATGTAACTAAAAAATTTCAACCTCTGATAGCCATGATCAGCTACATACTACCAACATGATAAAATTCATTTACACTCATCATCCCCACAATTCATGTCCCAACAGCGTTCCGAACGCTATTCGCGTCGTCAATGCACCCGATGACTGTTTAATTTCGTCGAAATTCCCGCGGGCAACAATGGCAGCCAAGTTCGTTCGTCTGCTCGCGGAATTGCGAACTCGCTGGTACATAAAGGTGGGGGTGGTACGGGGTAGGGTGGGGACAGCTTTAATTTCGCACCCACTCGTCGACGAATCGACACCGGAGCGCGATCGCGGCGGTTTACTCCGATTAACTTCAAAGAAACGGCGCCTGCCTCAAACGAAATTCATGCGGCCTGACGCCCTTGATGAATTGAAAGCACAGCCTTTGAGATTCTTAACTCAGTGCTTACCTGTGCAAATTGACGTGGCAGCCTGCTTTGCATCGCAGAGAGGAGACGCGAGAGAGAGAGAGAGAGAGAGAGAGCGAGAGAGTGAGCAGGAGAGTGAGGGGGAGAGAGAGAGAGA